GGCGGGCGTAGGTCTATGTCGCGGGCGGCGGCGGCGGCGGCGGCCGCGGAGGGACGATGCGCGAGTACAAAGTGGTGGTGCTCGGCTCGGGCGGGGTCGGCAAATCCGCCCTGACCGTGCAGTTCGTGACCGGCACCTTCATCGAGAAATATGACCCCACCATCGAGGACTTCTACCGCAAGGAGATCGAGGTGGACTCGTCGCCGTCGGTGCTGGAGATCCTGGACACGGCGGGCACCGAGCAGTTCGCGTCCATGCGGGACCTGTACATCAAGAACGGCCAGGGCTTCATCCTCGTCTACAGCCTCGTCAACCAGCAGAGCTTCCAGGACATCAAGCCCATGCGGGACCAGATCATCCGAGTGAAGCGGTGAGAGGGCCGGGGTGCGGGCAGGGGGCTCCGCGGTGCGGTCGGCGGCCGCCGTCCCGGGTCCGGGACTCCCTCCCCCGGGCTCCGGCGTGGCCGTGGGCAGGGGGAGCTGTGTAGAAGAGGTGGCTCCGGGGTCTTATGCTTTGTAATAAATTTTTTGCCAGCATCGCCATCCTCATCATCTTGAATCTCAAATTTGAGTGCTTTGTTTCACAACTCAAATTTGGCATCCCGTGAACCCACAGCACAGTTCTTTGTCTCTTGGATGTTATTAGTAGCGCTTGTGCAGAACCCCAAAGGAGACAAAGTTTAAAACTTGCAAGGGGGAGTGCGGAGGGTAGGTTTGTGTTGGGAGGAAGGGAGCTGTGCAAGTGTAGTGGAGACATTTTCAGACTGAACAACGAAAAAATCTACCTTTGCAATATTTGACAGCAAAAATTGCTCACACGTATGCCGTAAAAATGTCAAGTCGAGAGGAAAGAGACCTTTCTCATCTCAAAAGATTGAATGGTGCCAAGGCGTTTTACGAAAATGAACTCTCCAATTAAGACGAAACTTTAAAAGCGGATTATCAAATTATTTGAAGACACCATAGCAGCTCAGTGGGATTGAGAGAGTATTAGTATATAAGAGTACAAATATGCCGTTCACATTAAAGAATGCAGCTTTTTGTTTTAATTTAGCTGCCTTACCCCCCTCAAAAAAAAAAAGAAAAGAAAAAAGCATTCCTGGAAACAAAAGAGAAGTTTCTTCAGGGTGTGACTCAAGTATTAGATAATTTAAAGTTAATGCAGATAAGGTCTATCCTGATAGAAACTCTTTTCTAGAGTATGCTTTTCGGAAATATGATGGTAGTTTAAATGGCTTAAAATGTTTATTTTCTGTTAAATTGAGTATATTTTTTCTATAATTTCAAGCATTAAAAATGTAGTAATATCTTAGTTCAAAGTTTTAGCAGATTATTCTAATTACTGTTTAATTACACATTAATGTTTTGTCTGGTTCTTATTATTAGTTAATAATTGCTAATAATTTTGATTTAGTTTTTCTTTTTCCCACCTAATTCTACCTATAGCTCTAACTTGAAAGACATTTACTGAAAGATGGTTGTAAGTGTACTGTAGACACAATCACATTATAAGTCAGTTGGAGTCTGCTCATTCTGAAAGAGCCAGGGCCAAGTCACGTGTACTAAATCAGGGAGTGCTCAAAAATTCATTACCAGTGGTGGATTTTTAATGCAACAGATGAGATCAAAGAGGAGGCTCTCTCTCCATGACCCCCCCTTAACTCACTGAATATGCACTTTAATAGCTAAACTAAAATTTTGTGTGTTATTTCTTTCATTAAATTTCAAAGTAGAATAAAGTGAATTTTTTCCTGGCCTCTGCTGCTGCTCTAAGATCTGTGAATCTGATAGCTTTTACTTCTCCAACCTTGTTTTCATAATTGCTTATAGTTAACAAATGAACGATTTTGGTGTTAAACTTAATATGTATATGACATTTTGGGGCTACATTTTAGTGACTCATATCCTTATTTATTACTCCCCCCACCCCAGCTACTCAGAAAAATCCAAAACAAAACTGCAGAACAGAGTAGTCTAATATATTTCACATGTCAGTCTTAGGCCATATACATATATCAAATAGTTGAAGTAAATGCCTCACCCTTTGCATTTAAATATATACATATAATACATACGTTGATAAAGTCACATACCCAGGGCAAACTTCTTGAGACAAGCCTAGGGAACAGAATGGCAAAATATCATTGGTTAGTATAGTGCACATGATTTTGTAGTTTCTTATGATTTAGTGCAGATTACTAATAATGGGTTAGTCTAACTTGGTACAATTTATTTGTAAACTGGAACAATTTGCTTGTTTGCACTGTGACCCAGGAAGAAAAAAAGAGTAAAACTCTACTTGCCCAGATGTCATTTTACTTACCAGTCTCAGTTTTGATGTAAAAAGATCATTTATCAGCTGAAATAGAGTCCATAAGCTCTTTTCTCTGGATTCATCCATTGTATCCATAAGACCCACTGGGGCCCTTGTGTGTCCTGATATTTTATACCTCACCCTAACCTCATCATCTGGCCTCCTAGCCTATAGCATATGATAAGCAACTTACCTTGAGAGAAAGAAAGGGTCTGTATATTATGTATACTATAATATATAATATATTATGCGAAAGCAAGTGTTCAGTGTAGTTCTTTAACTCTTCCCACTTAAAGAGAATAAGACAGGATTTTCTAATAAGTGAATTTTCTACTCTTTTTGGGTTTAATTTTTAAATTAACCAGTTGCTATAGGAGGTATTTAGTAATTGTTCCCTCCCCTCTGCCTGCTAGCTGCCTTACGTATTAATACAACAGTTGTTTGGGGATATTTAATATCACCATAAAGCAGATGACATAAATGAAGTGCAGAGAGGTTTGGTATTTTGCCCAAGACCAGTCATTGAGGGAGAGGTGATTTAAACCAAGATCTGCCTGAATCCATGTACCATCTTCTTTTCTTCCATACCAGGCTGCCTTTCAACTTGGTGTTTACTGGCAAATTCAATATCTGGCCTTTGGTCTAGGGCAGCACTGATCAATGGAAATATAATGTGAGCTACATATGTAATTTTAAGATTTCTAGTAGTTGATTTTAAAAATATATAAAGCAGGTGAAATTAATTTTAATAGTGCATTTTATTTAACCTGTTATATCCAAAATATTGTCATTTCAACATGTAATCAGTATTCAAAAATTGATATATTTTACTTTCTTTTTCATACCAAGTCTTCAAAATCTGGTGTATAATGTACACTTAACAGCACATCTCAATTCAGACGAGCCATACTTCAAGTGCTCAGTAGTCACATGTGGCTACAGGCTACCACTGGACAGCTCAGGTATAAGGTGTGTATGTTTTGGAGAAATGCTGGCTTCTCTAAGCCTCAGTTTCCTTATCTGTAAAATAGAGTAGAGCATGCACCTCTCAGTCTTTGTTAGGATTAGATGAGAAAATATGTTTTAAGGTGTCCAACACAATACCTCAAACAGAAATTGCTGCAGAGTTGCAGCTGTTCTTTTATTAATAACTGTTACGCTGCCTTCTTTAAATTTTATCCTTGACATAAATGTAATTTTGGAGGAAAGTAATGTGTGATTGTATATTGAAATTCCTTACCTAGTGTAGACAAGATGAGACTAAAAAGCAATGCAGAGTAGAACAATCCTTAGAAAAATTTTGTTGGTGTTCTCTTAAAATATTTTCCCTTATTAAGGATCGTGTGGGAAGGAGCAGGAGGATGAATATTTAACTTCAAGTATAGCACTAATGCATGGCCACACAATGAAATGGAGCTTTGCATTGGATTGTTCTTGTATGGAACGTTTTGCTTTCAAAAAATATAAAACAGGCCCATACTTCCTCAAGTGTTTACAGGTGCACAGACATCCATATACATACACAACCTCCTGTCAAAGCCAAGTGGACCCACTGAAAATGGCTGTATTTATAAATTCCTATGCTTTCTTTTTTTAACTTGACTTTGGATGAGATCACACATAAAAGAAAGAGTGATAGGGATACAGAAAATGTTTCCATTGAAATGAAACCAGAGTTCTTTCTGATTTCATAATTGCTTTTCTCATTCCTCCCAGGGTAAGCCATGGTCCCGGCTGGAGTATCTTGAACATGTTATCCAAGGCCTGTTGTTCTTAGGATGAAGCCCAGAAATCTTCCACATGACCTTCCCAGGCCCAGCATACTCTTGTCCCTCCCTGCCTTTACAGCCTCACCCTTACAACCCTCCTCATCCATTAGATTCCAGTACCCAGACCTTCTTTTATTTCCTTAAAAGTGTCAATCTATAGGTTCTCTACCTGTGGAAATCATCTACCTTTTGCAGAGTTTATTCCTGCTCCCTCTTTCTCCACGGCTTAAAAGGTTTCCCCCTCAGGAAAGTCTTTGCAGACTGAATTAACTCCTTCCTGTCTTCCCACCCTGGATTACCTTCATGCCTCAGCCCTCCAGTGAGTACTTCAGACAGCACTAGCCCCCTGTACTTCCCTCTTCCTGTAGCACTCATCAAAGTTTCATTGTTTGTAAGATAATTTACATACAATCGGTCTTTCTCATGAAATTCTAATCCCAGGTGGCTAGCACAGCTCCTGGCACATAGCAATCAAGAAAAACATTGGAAAAAAGGTAGTGTTCAGAAAGAAAAGTATTTTTATTTTCCTTTGGCTTTAGTTTCCCCAAACATTTTAATTTTATAGATGGAAAAGATGATTCTTTAAAGCTCATTTTGCAGATGGAGTAGATGATCTTCCTTCATCTCTAACATTCTCTGAGAGTACTTCTATCTAATTGGGGTGACGGGGAAGAGGCAAATTTTAATATAAACCTTAAAAAATCAGGAGCACGATGTTTTCCAGATGGAGGAAATAGCACGGGAAATGTATAGAATATATTTGTTAGCTGTTGAATAGACCAGATTGGCTAAACTAGAAATTTATATAGGAGTATGAGAGGAGATAAGGCCAAAAAATGTAAACCTAAATTACAGAAGGTTAAAGACTTTGGACTTGATCTTATTGTCAAGGACCATGATCAGAATTGTTATGGAAGTAGTAATTATGATGGTAATGTGATAGATGGCTTAGTGGCAATAGGCCAGAGCCAGGAGGAATAGTTGTGAAACATTGTGATAATCTAGTTTCTATATGAAGTATAAAGATTCTGAATTAGCCTGGTGTCTATAGGAACAGAAAGGAAATATGGTTCAAAATAATGTTGTAAAGAATGAATTAATCAAACTTAGGGGGAGAAGGAGAGGGAAAGGTCAAAAGTAACCTTGACATTTTGAACATGAGTGAATAGGATTATGGAGGAATAGCTGGGAGAGATTATTTCAGTTTGGAGATAGTGATCATCCAGATAGATACACCTAATAAGTAATTAGAATATTTGAGTAAAGCCTGAAAGGTCAGTTTATGTAT